TCCCCTTGCCTCACTCACACACACACACTCCACGCACACAAACTCACTCCACAGAGAGGGCCTTCCTTCTCCTAATCTGAGTTTAAAGCGAGTGAATTTTATGGCAGGGTTTGCAGCTACAAATTGTCGTAAAGTTAAGCGAATTTATTGGCATACATAATGCATGAAGCGAGTCCTACATTCACTCAACTCCCCCCCACCCCGCCGGCAGCAATACAATGCGCATAGCGTTAGAGACAAACAGAGAAAACAAAATGGCGACAACGCCCCCATCATCATCGTCGCCATTCGCCATTTTACCCGAAAACACCCCAGAACTTCCCTCGTCTTCGTCAACTTTGACAATGACTTTTCGCCTGGCTTCCAAATGTTATGCCAGCAGTCTCAGTTTTTCCCACCCATTTTCCCTTTCCCCCCCTCTGTTTCCCTCACCTTCACTGTCTGTGTTTACGCATTTGTATGCGACTCGTAACCTTCTATTGTGATGTTCTCGATTCGGTTATTGTTGCTGCAAATAGCTGGATTCCTTTGTTGTGGAAGGTGATATGGCTTGGCCTTTGGCCCATTGCAAGGCAAATAGAAGCAAAAGAAAATCTATGATTGCCCAGCTAAGTGATGTGGCAGGGTATTAAATATTTGCAATAGTTGGAGAGTAAACAGGAATAATGAATTTTAATATTTAAACTTACATAATTGGAAAAATCCAGGAGGGAATTTATTCAAAGAAGAGTAGAAAACTTAAACTAGATTACCAACTCAGGTTATTCGAAATGGTTTCAATTTAAGTAATCCTTCCGCAATTATGGCTTTCGGGAAACGAGCTTTTTATTAACACGACTCCTTTGCCGTTCCAGACATGCCTTTACAGAGAGAGTTTCCCTTTAACCAGCTGAAAGCTAGCCAAATAGGCCACCTCCAGTGGCTCGTGCTTTGGGGCGTTTAATTCAATAGACATTCAGGCTCGCCTGCGACAACGTGGCGTATGCGCAATAACCCACAAAACAGACAGCGGCAGATGTCTCATAAAAAGGAGCTATCTAGCCTCGCCCCTTGGCAAAACCGTTTGGCCCCCTTGGCCTCGGATTACTGATGTTGTTTTGGGTGGTGTTTTGGTTTCGGGCCCCCTTCTGACATCTCTCTGGGACTCATTTGGTTTACTCTGGGAATTATGTTATGTGAAATAATGCAGCATCATTTGTATACTCGTATGCTGGCCAAAAGCCGAGCGACATTGAGTAATGAATGCAAGGCACCAGAGGATGGAAGGGCTACCACCCCCTTCGCATATCCTTTCTTGGCATTAAAAAGTCGGATTTTTCTGCATTTGCTGGGAAACTAGGAAAATGGGGAAAACGGGGGAAACCCATTCCATAAACTCATTTGCGGGTCTTGACTAACACTCACAGCACACACAGTCCCAATAAATTTCAATGTCTATCGGCTAAGAACCCCCATTTTCCAACAGCTGACAGCTGTGGGTGGCATGCATTATGTATTATGTGAGCTGTCACCAATAAATTCCCATGTAAGCAACTGATATTGACAGCTTGAGTACGACAACGTGGCGTAGGAAATAATATGCACGTACTTAAGCACAGGCATCTCTGTTCGGAGGAGAGCGGCAAGTATCCTGAGCACAGGATACAGGATAATGGGCAGCATATTTCGCACCACCTAACCACATCATCGAAAATGGCGGAGTGGGTGTTGCCAGTGCCAGTAACCTGTTTACACAACACATTCTGTGGCACACTTTTTTGGGCCAGCAGAGCCTTACTCTACCTCCCTCCCCCCCTCCATTATTCCATTCTAGCCATGTCAATCGATGTTAATTTATTGTCAATGCGCATTTCTTTCTCCCTCTCTCCCTCCTCGCTCTATGCGACACGAATACCAATGCAGGGGCTTACCCCTCCTGGCTGTGTGTGTGTTATGCAAAAAGGCTTTTCCTCTTGGCCATCCACAAAAACACGTGCGCCATGTGCACGTTATTAATCAACAAGGACCTACGACAAGCTCGTTTTCCCACCCCGCAACTCAGGCTTTGTCCATTTCGGAAAATGCAACCAGAATGCTTGCTATGTTCGAATGTGCGTTGGTACACAGAGGGAAAATGTGTGGTATAAATCTAATATGTAGGTAAATCTATGGATTAATATAAGAATCTTCCACATCTTCCACATAATCTTAGCCTCTTCTTACAAGATAAGTCATGCCTTTCAGCCTTATCAAAAGCTAGAAAAGATTTCCAAAGACTTCAACCCATTTTCTCTCCGTGTAGCTGTGTGTGTGCTCAGCGGTGCTGAGCTGTTGGCTGCGTGCACTGCATGCAGCTTATTACATACGAACAAACAAACACCAACACAGACGACCAACAGCATTGCATATGCATGCATAGGTTTGCATATGTACGGCGCCTAAAAGTGCACAACAAAAGTTCATTATCTTGTTGACACGTCCCACAAAAATTGGCTTAAACAGGCCGCTTAGCCTGAATAGCTTAAAGCATTAAAGTATGTGGCCAATTCAGCGTCAATGGTGATGGGAACTATCATTAATCACGGGCAGCGTTGATTAACTCGGAGCCAAGCTGAATGACATATTAGAACTGTGACTGAATAATCTGCGAATCTATCATAATTCAGACGGAGCAGAAACAAACCATTAATAACACAATAATGAATCCCCGAGGAGGGATGACTAGCTAAGGCAAGAGCCAGGCGAATCCATCAAGCCACTGGCCTAATCACTTTAAAGATCCACCAGCTGTAGTGGCAGCAGCAGCAGTAGTAGTAGTTGGCCCAAAAGATCAACAGAGCGCATAATAAATTGCATTTAGTTTCCCCCTTTTTTTCCAGCTTTATCCTTTTTGTGTGTTGCCAAAGAGAAAGGAGATAGAATTAGGAAGAGCGGTGAAAGAAGAAAAAAGGAACAGCCAGCACATGGGCGACGTTTTTACGTTTGTCAGTTGCATAAAACATAAAAATGCCAACACATTCGGACGGACATGAGCCATGATGGCACATGCCAGGAGCAGGCATCCAACATTCTACATCCTACTGGCTAGAGGCTACTGGCTACAGGACCACCGCAGCGGAAATGGTGCAAAAAGCGGAACGGGAACGGCGGTCGGAGTTTGGGGAAAGAGGCTTGGGGGAAATTAGAAAGAGCCTTGGTGCGAAGGAGATGGAGAGCCTTAAAAAAATCACAGAGAAAATGTCACATATGGTAGAATGAAATCTACCCTTGCCTCAGAGTTATTTAACAGATAAAAATCAGGAAAAGCTGTCTTAGTTTTCACATATATTTTTAACATTACAAAGCCTCTAACTCTCTGGCTTTCTAATTATTTTTGTTTATTTTTTCACTTTAAAGCAAGTTTCCTAGAAAATACAAAAAAGATCACCCTGCTTGGCCTAGGGTAGGGAAACGAAAGCCGTTTCGGAGGATTTTATTTACATATTTTTGGACAAAGCTGACTGAAATCCCGGCTAAACGTCCGGCCCGGCCTTCGTTGCCATGCAGCATTAATGCCCAAGTCAATAGCCGGGCAGAGCAAGGGGGGGGGGGGCTTGTTGATCTAGTCACAGTTACTCGTTAAAGTATGCAACGTGCCCCGCATGTTCGAACTCGCTGATTGAATTCCGCGAAAAAGTTTCTCTCAAATTTATATTTATGTTGGCCCTTCGCCCCCTTTCTTGCCCCTTTACCCGCCGTCAAAAGAGCACAAAATGTTTAATTAAATTCAGGCGGCAATAGGAAAGAAATCGGAAACCAAAACGAGCCAAGAAAAATAAACGAAAAAGCCAAAGAATTTAATTAAACTTTTTCTATTTTTACTCGCTCGACTTCAGGTCTCTCTTTTTTTTCTGTGCCGCAGCAATGTCAGCCACGCATTTTAATTAGTTTCTTTTTTCCTTTTGGTTCGTTGTTTAAGTAAGAGTGAGCGGAAATGGGCGCGTATGTGCTAAAAGGGAATCAAAAGTGGAAGCCAACAATTGACGTGTCCTGGGCGGAAGAACAAGCGCTGTGCAGTGCTGTCAAAAAACTTTCAAACAAATGTCGCTCACATGCCAAATGCACACTCACACATACATTCAGGACTGCAACACCACACTAACACTAACACTGGCACAAAAAAGGTGTTGAACATTAACATTTCATGCGCATAAACAAATGAGTTTTTCCAACGTCAAGTTTTGATTACGTAACAAGCTTTCCACCCCCAAAACGTTTGCCCATTCGGTTTGGCTCTTTTTTGCATACTAAATGGGTTGCAGTTTTTCTACGTACCACGCCTCTGGCAGGGTCAAAAAACAAATAAAGGCCATTTAAATGCATAGTCGTAAAATGCAGGTGTTTCAGGGGATTCTGGCAATACATTTGTGGTTTAACAAGGGTTATTAAATCGAACATTTTGTATCATTAACGGCTTAAAATGAATATCCGAAAAATACTGAATTAAGCCTGAGATTTGAGGCCCATAAACCGGTAATGGTTTTAAGAGTTTTAAATATTTTCCGCTAATAAAAAACAGTTTACTATTATGGATATGTTAAGGTTATTGATAACCCTCTATATATAATGGAAAATATTTATTTGATTTAATAAAAAATGAAACAAAAAAGTAAGAAAATAAACAAAAATGGGTAAACCTCTCATAAATCATAAATAAATTGTTTGTATTTTTTAAAAACTTCTCTTGTGGATTATCCCCCAAGTTTTAAGTTTAAAAAACTCGCTCGCTGAGTTGGAAAATATATGCAAAAAACGGCACCAAAAAAGCACCTATATTTACGTTAACTTTGGAAAAGCGAAAGAGTGCCGACTCTTGTGATATGCAAAGTGGGGAAAAGGGAAAAAGAAACCCATCTGCAACGCCACTCTACAGATCAGCTTACAGTATTAACAGGGCAAACTTTTTGGGGCACGCCGGAAATTTAATTAACTAATTTATATGTGGTGGAGATGATAGAGAGAGGGTTGAGATGGAAACTTACCCCGCCGCGTCCGCCTGAGCCCTCGATGCTATCATCATCGATATAGATTTCATCCCGGGGCCGAGAGGCTGCTGCTGATGGCGCTACCGCCGATGGTTTCACGGATTTCTGCAAATAAAGAACATTTTTTGAACAAAATGAGAATTTTTCAAACCATATTACGCGCCGCGAAAGCTCCAGTGCGTGTGTGGGGAGAATAGGAAACTTTTTTAATTTTCGCCAGGACATCATCAACTTTTCAGTTTTTTGTGCTGCCTTTCGTTGAAATGGAAATATTTTCCTTTCATTAATTAGAGAGTGAGAGAGGAGGAGAAGGCAGGGAGACAGGCAAAAGTTTGGCAAAGTTGTCAGGAGGAGTCGCTGGCACCAAAGTTATGAGAGCAGGAATTCGCAATCAAAAAGAAGAGCCGGCAAATGCATTTATATTGCCATCAGTGATTCGCATGACCGCAAAAACCTGCCAGCCAGCCTTCCACTGCCCTCGACCGCACGAAACAATTAATTAAGAACAATGCTTAAAGTGTACATATTTTCGGTTCGCGTTAAATGCATTTTTAATGATGCACTGGAAAATCAATGAGAAATGCAAATTGTGTGTGGCAAGCCGGCTCCTCCCTTGATGAGCTACAAAGTGAGTGTGGCCTGGGCGAGGGGGAAAGCCAGGAAAGTCGCCGAGTTTCTGAGGCTTTTTCGGCCCAGTCCGGACATTGCATAATTAATGGGGCCCCATCCACATCCACTTGCCCATCCAGTTCTAGGAGCTGTCCGCATTTTATGGCCCAACATAAAAAGCAGAGCCCGAACTGGGGTTCGGGGGTGGGAGTGGGAGTGGGAGGTCGCCTGACCATGTCCCGTGTTGCCTCATTAAGCCATGGGAAATCGGAGGACTCTGCTCCGTTTTATGCTCCCCTTGAATGCGAATTGATGAAGACTTTACGAGCAACTGAAAAACTCCAATGGTGGTTTTTCCTGCCCTATAGGCTTCACTTCACAGTGGGTGTACATGTTCATTCGAAGAACTTTACTTCTGTTTTCTTTGCTATATTGAAGTAACTCGCCATGTCGCTTAATGAAGGCATATTTAAGCGTGTTGTTCTTTATTTACTTTGAGTTTTAACTCTTTTTGAACTTTTTCTTGTCTTAAATTAGCATTTTAATGCTGGATTTTCTTGTTAGAAATCATATAAATATTCTATAAAATGTCTCCATTTTCCTTTTTTCGCTAGATTGACCCAAAAAACATTCAAAAATATGTTTGGCATATTCATCTCGTTTAGCCCTAAAAAATATGCAGAAATTCGTGCCAACTCTGCCATCTATGAAAACCTAATGCTTATATTCATTTATTTTCCAGCTCATAGCGACAAAATCTTTCCCCACCATAAGCCAAGCGAGTCAGAAAGTTTGGCATAACATTTTCATTTTGCTGCACTTTTTCGTTAGCCAAACTGCGAACCGAATTAAGTTATCTTTGTTCAGGCGTTTGCTGTTTTTTGCAGATTAGCAGCAAAACCTGAACCTGAATGCGCCAACTTGGCGAGTCAAAGTTGTCAGGACGAGCGAAAGAGAGCTCAGGGCTGAGAGTGAGACTTGGGAAGCCGTTGGCATTAAGTTTTTGGCGGGCTGTCAAGCCAGCCAGAGGCTGTCATTCATTCAGGTCTTCAGAAGTTGAGATGCGGTTGTGCCAACGACTGGGACTGCTCTTCTCTAAACAATTTAGCTGGCAAGTTTCCGGCTGGCATAGGTGTGAATAACCGCTGGAGATAAACTGAAAAGTTTTCAAGAAGGCAGCAGGGAAATATGAAATAAGAGGCAACAGTTTCTCATTCAGCTTTTCCGCCTTATGGCTTATTTTATATGCAACGTTGTCTAAGGCTTGTGGCTTTGGGTTTCTTCTATGTGGGGGATGAGGCCTCCTGCTCCTCCTCCTCCTCATCTTTCACTTCACTTTTCGACGGAAGTCAGGCTCTACTATTGATAGATTTCCTTGTTTTCCACTATGTTTTCCCTTCTTGTTTTCCTTGCCCACTGTTTTCATAATTGAAAAATTCCGCTCTTGGCAGGCAGCAAAAGTTTTCCTGCTTCTCGGACATGAAACGATTTTCCGGCTGGAAAACGTGCAAAATATTCTCTATGGGGAAATGTTTTGCCAGTTTCAGTTCTCCAGTTTTTCAGTTTTTCAGTTTTTACATTATTTTTATCTCCGTGTTGTTGTTGTTTTTTTGGGGCAAAGCTTTATATTTTTGCCAGCTTGCCATGGTTGGCTTGTTTCATATTTTAAAATGGCAACAATTTGCCAAAAACGTTAAATTGAATTGCAGCGGGCCAAATCCTCTCACCTCTCACCTATTTTTTCTGTTCCTGTGACAAATTGTGGCATTCAAAATAGTTGTGAGCCGATTCGGGAAGAGGGCAAAAGCAAAAACAGGGCCAAACCCTGGTTATAAATCAATATATATACATGCATATATTGACAGTTTGTTCGCCTGAACGCGCGTTGTTATCGGGGGAATATGAAAATAAAAAAAAGAGGAAACCATTTTGTTTTTATGACAAAGAAAATATATATTCTTTTGGGTTTTCATCTGTCAATATTTATCGTTTGCAAATATTTTCACTGCTGGGAAATCTATAAAATGCGCACATAAATATTTTAATGCCATAGAATTGTGGAATTTGCCTGGCACTTAATGCCCTTTTGTCCGCTCCGACAGTTTCAAATAACTATTCACAGTCGGCTGATCCGCAGCAAAAAATTACATTTCAAATTGCTCAAACGAAGGGAATACTTAATGCGGAACACTGGACAGATGAGAGATGGTAGATGCGAGATGCGATAAAGAGGGATCTGCCAGTGATTCAATTGTGGCAGCCTCATTTAATGTGTCAATTGCATTACGCTAAAACCCTTCGCTCCAACAGTCGCTGCAGTCGCAAAAAGGCGAATTGGCTGGCAGTTAATGCGGGGAATGAAGAGGAGTTCAGCTGACAGCCAATGACAGAAGCTAAAGGGGCCCAGCGAAGCGTGGGCAAAGCGAAGCTGATAGTTCCAGGACTTCATCACAAAGTTTTATCTGAATCTCAAGGGCTGGCAGTGGGTGTTCTGAGGTGGCCCCAAAAAGTAGGCAATACAATTCGATCAATGCCAGAACAAGTATACGCAGCGTGGTACCCGCACAGCAAATCAGCAAAGGGCAGGTCAGCAACAAAAACAACAACAAGAAAAAGAACCAAAACGACAAGGCCCACAGGAAACATATTCAAGTTGTCGGCGCTGTCATTATGTTGATGACAAGGCAGCATTTTTTGCCTCCATTTTGCCGTCTTGCTGAGTCCAACAACCTTTTCAGTTCCATCTGCTTTTGCTTCTGCTTCTGCTTCTGCCTCTTGCCTTCTGCTTCTCACCTCTCTTATCTCTTCCCTCCTGCCAGCATGCGTATGTTCAGTTAGCACCCCGAAAAACCAAACCAAACACCCAACCAATGCCAAACCAATGACAGCAAAGGCATTTACCCATTTCCTTTCGATACCCTCAAAGGAAAATGTTTACCAAGTTTTTCCAAGAAGTTGGTGAACACAATGTTCATTGGTTATTACCAGTTTTGTTTATAAATAATCTACAAATTTAAATGTATAAATAATAAGCCATAGGGAATTACCATTTTGAATGATAGTTAAGGTTACGTATATAACTTTTGACATTCTAGAGGATTTAAGATCTTTAAGTCACTTACTTTTCCCAAAAATTGGTAATATATTCCCAAACTATTTGTTGAACTTGTTCAAAGACTAATGTTAAATGTAGTTAAACAATCTGTTAAAGGGTATTTATCATTCTAATATCTCTTACTAATTTTATTCTGCTTTCTTGTCTTTTCGACCCGAAACTGAATGATAAATAAACCAAATGCGTTGAGGCTTAGGTGAATTGAACATTTTCATTTCGTTTTCCGGGATTTCCGCTAGACCTCTCTCTCTCTCACTTTACCTCCCTCTGCGTGCGTGCCCTTTGTCCATTGAGGTGTCAAGAAGGTAAATATGAAGGCCCTCGTCCAAAAGAGCGAATAAAAGCAAATCAAAACTTATTATGCGAAACACACACACACGCATGCACGTGGCGAGGCTCTAAGATTGTATTTTATTGCCATGTGTATGTGTGTGTGTGTGTATCTTAGGGGAAAACTTTTATGTTTATAGTAGTCGTAAAAAAAAAGGAAACTTGACTTTTCGCATTTGTTGCTGCCCGAAAACCTAATTGAACAGCAAAATTATTGCCCTTCCTTGGGGGCAAATAACAAAAACTCAACTGGGCCTAAAATAGCCAAAACAACAATATTGCAACGGCCATAGCAATCCTCTAGCCCTTACAGCCTCCGGCATTAAATTTTCATTTGGCCTGGCCAAATATTTAAATTATGCACCACACGAATTTGTTTTACATGCAAAATAACAAAACGCTCGACAATGCAATTAGTCCGACAGCCTGACAGTCGGCAAAACTGTGATATTCTTTTTGTGTGTGTGTGTGTGTTTGTGTGTGTGGCCAGAACAAGTCCTAGAATCATCAAGAACGCACTCAAATGTAAATAAGGCTAAAAGGTGTACAGAGAAAAACTATCTCCATCCCAGAACCTAGTGCTGAAATTCACAAAATATTTCAAACATTAAAAATTCAACAAGACAAAGTTTCTTTTAGAGCTTAGAAGTGAGAAACCTAACGTCTAGAAGCTTCTTAATTCTAGAAATACATTTTCCTACTTCCTAATTTCTCTCTCTGTTTGCCTGAGTGTGGTTGTATTTGCCGAGTGACTTGACATAAAGCCAATGGCGGAAATTGCAAACCCCCCGCACTCACAAACTGACACCATTCTACTTCTTGCCGAGGCCTTGTCGCTGGCTCTGAGCCTGAATCAGAATCTGAATCTGAGTTCTGAATCCTGAAGCCTCTGAATGCTGTCAGCCAGTCATGCAAAATCGTGGCGCTCAAAAGTATGCCACGAGCACTGAAAACCATTCAGACAGCGAATTGTTATAACACTGACCTACAGAGGGCACCCCACACACAGGTGAATGGTAAGCACCGCCTCCCTGCACACCCTTGATTTTCT